GAAAGAGTCCCCAGGTCCCCACAGCCCAGGGCCCTTGTATTGCCCATAGCACAAGTGGCTCCCCTTGAGATCCAGCTGATCTGCACTAGTCAGGCACTTGTTACTCAGAAACCGAGATTCGATTGAAGATGGGGAGTCTCCGGGGGGCTGCAGGTGGCCCAAAAACCCCTGCCTCAAACACAGGAGAGTCGGATCCCCCCAGGCTGCTGCCGCTGCTGGCATATTCATCAGGGTCAGATCCTAGAGACTGTGCAGAGGGGCTCCGAGGCAGGCCACCCAAGGGCCCCCAGATGCTGTTAGAAGTAGTAGCCCTGAGGCAGGAGGGGCAACAGGCTGGGGTGGGGTCCCTTCGAGCCACGGGGGTCCCAGGAGCAGCAGAGAAGGCAGAGGGTGACAGTGGAAGGTCCCCAGGTGGTGGTGGGGAGCTGGAGGGTGAGAAGGAGCATGAGGACAGAGAAGGGCCTGCCAGGCCTGGTGGTGGTGGTGAGGTGCGGCGGCCTGAGGGCAGGCCAGAGAAGCTAATGCTCTGGCGCAGCACATGCGGGTGGCCAGGGTTGGCCTGGTCCTCACTAGGGTTGTGGATGAAGTGGCAGCGTGAGCCATAGGGACAGCGGCCCTGGAGGTAGAACTTGTGGCAGAGTTCCGTCTTGTACTTGGGGTGGCGATTGGCCTGGCGCAGCTCCCCCAGGCCATGGGCAAACTGGCACTTAGCCCCATAGCGGCAGCGCCCACTCTCGGAGAAGGTCCGGCATAGCTCAGTCTTGTAGCGGGAGGAGGTGGCAGGGGTCGCAGTTGGCGAGGTGGGTGAGGGCGACAGTTCAGGGCCTGGGCGAGGAGCCAGGGGTGCAAAGCCAGGAGGTGGGGGCACCCAGCCACAGCTGCGGCCCTCCACCAGGCTGGTAGAGCGGCCAGGCAGGCGAGAGGTGCCCCCAGATGGGCCACAGTCAGATGAACCCAGGCTCCAGGGTCCCGAAGAGGCCCAGCCTGGGTTAGACTCAGAACCTCCGTGGTCGGATGACAGGTCAGGGCTCAGCGACAAGAGGCTCTGCAGGAACAGGAGGAGCTGGTTAAGACACCCGAAAATGCAATGTGACGCCCCACCCCAGCTGCAGGACATTTCCAAAGCCTGCCAGTCCGGTTTGTAGGTCCCAGGTAGAGCCCCACCCGCCCGCAGAAACCCCTAGGTTCCGGATCCCAGGGATCCCGATTGCCAGGTTTTGAGTTACCCACGACCGGCTGGATCAAGATAGGGCCTCGAAGTCAGGGCGCACCACTGTTCCCCAATTTCGAGCCTCTGGACCTCTCCGGAAATGACCCGCTCATCGGTTTCTCCGGTTTTAAAAGTGGAGGAGCTGGGCAAAGTTGACCCAGGAGTCCGAATCTCTTCGGTCTTAGTGTTCTAGAGAACTTTGGTAAGGGAGTGGCGAGAGGTAGGCTCCCCTCGAGAAACTTAGCGAAAAACCCCACCCTCAGCGTGTCCTAGGGGTGAGCCAGGTGTGGGGGCCATTTCCTCCTCCAGACATCCCTCGTCTGAGAAAAGTCCTCTAGTTTCCCATCTCTTGGGGCCACATTGCCCCTCTTGGGCTGAGAACCGAGAACCGCAGGCTTTATTTTCGCCTTCAGATAATCAGGCTGGTCTGAGTAAGAAGGCAGGCACCCGGGCTGGAGGGTGCGGCGCAAATGTGCCCCAGTTTTAGAAAAGAGGCAGGCGTCCCAGGTCAGAGTTTTCGTCGCTAGAGGAGTGGCGTGAGGACCCCAGGAGTACGGGTCGACAGGGACTCACCTCGTAGATGGCGGCGAGATCCATTGTGGTGCGAGTGGCCAGAAGAGATCGGCCCGGAGTCGGAGCGCTGAAATCAGGCTGCGGCTGTTGGGGACAACCAGCTTCTTATAGGGCCTGGAGGGCGGGGCCAGGAGGAGGCGGGGCCTGGAGGGGCGCTTCCCGGACGCGCGCCCCCGGCGCAGCCTGGCGGTCGCTGGACTAGTCTCTCTACGTTGGGCCCCGGCCAGGACGCGTCTGTGCTTGGCCTGGAGGTTGTGGCCGGGCGTGGTGTGCGTGGTGTGTGTGTGTGTGGGGGGGCTGTCTGCCTGCCCAGTTTTCAAGGCTGGAGACTGAGGCGTCGAGAAAGAAGGGTACTGGGGCGGAGGTGGGGGCAGGGCTCCAGGGGCAGCTGACAAGGGCAGAGGGCGTGAGCATGCCAGTCCGTTCGGGCAGGAGGCGGGGAGAGACAGAGTGGAAGACCCAGAGACATGGAGAAAAGCAGAGAACAGGGGAGACAGACAGAGGGAGACATAGGGTAAGGAGCAGAAGTTAGGTAGGGGTTCTGAGATAGTCCCAGAGAGAGAAATTCAGAAGCAGGACAGGTGGATCACAAAGAAGCAGGAAAACAAACAAACAAACAAAAAACCAGAAACAAAACACCCAGAAAGAGGAAAGCCGCGGGGCCATACAGAGCAGAGACCAGCAGGCTTGGAAAGGCATTGAGTCCAGCTATCCTGGTGTGGTTTCACTCCCAAATGGTACAGATCAGAAACCCGGACCGCCCTACCCGTCCACAATCGTGAGATTCACCAGTGGGAAGCGTCCTGAATACCTGGCGAGTCTGGAAAAGACCTCTTTTGCCAGTCCACAGGTCCACGTAGGGCCCCCCCCACTTGTCCTCGCTCTCCCACAGATAATGGTACTTGGGTTGAATTTCTCTGGGCTGGGCCTTACTCAAGTGCTTTGCATGAATTAATTCAGTCCTCACAGCTTCTGGAGGTGTTATGCGCATTTGACACAGGAGGAAAGCAGAGGGGTTACTACCCTAGTTCCAGCTAGTGAATGACATAGCCTAATACCAAGATCTTTAATGACCCTTGAAAAAATCAAGATTGGAAACGTTTTTTTTTTTTTTTTAATTATTTTACTTAACTTTATTTATTTTAACTTGACCAGAGAGGGGCAGAGAGAGGTAAAACGAGAAAGAAGCCTCCAGGTCCAGGACTGGAACAGTGGTGGGCCACAGTGGCCCCATAGGAGTCCAGGACCCTTAACCACCACACCACTTGCCAACCCTGGATGAGGTGTTTTTTTTGTTTTGTTTTGTTTTTAAAGAATTATTTTATTTAGCTTTATTTATTTTATTTAATTTGACCATGGAGGGAGGGAGAGAGAAACAAGCCACCCTGTCTAGGACTCAAATCACAGTTGTTCATGTGGGAGTCCAGCACCCTTAATCACCACACCACCTGCCAGCCCCGGAAGAGGTCATTTAAAAAAAAAAAAGAATTATTTAATTTTATTCATCATCATCATCATCATTTTTAAAAATTTTGACCAGAGAGAAAGAGGGAAAGTGAGAATTTGAGCCACCAGGTCTGGGACTTGAACCATTGGGATTCTAGCGCCTAAACCGTCACACCACCCGTCCGCTGAAGGTCTCTTATTATGATGGAGGCCTGCCTTGGTTGAAATTTGTTCTAGGAGAGAAGAAATGGGTCGTCCCAACTGATGTTCAGCTGTCTCATAATGGGGCCACCTTGCCAGACTAAATTAGTCTGGACCATTCGTCACTATGCAATGTCTATTATCTAAAGTGTTGCCCTGAGTGAAAACTCTAAGATTCAGGAAGAAAGGTTATTTTTTGAAGGGGGTCTTGTAGAGCGGGCTGCCCGGGCGTCAAAGTACTGCGAGCTGACACGGTGGAGTCCATTCTCGCAGGCTGCGCCGCAGGCCTGTACTGAGTGGGGAGATTCTGTAGGCCCCACGCCGACCTGCCTCCCTGGAGAGCCGGGGGAATCCCTGATGCGGCGCTTTTTGGGGCGGAGGGGCCTTCCCGGTCGGTCTCGTGAGCTGGGCGGGCCTCGGGCTGCTCTGGCACGGGCTGCTTGCGGCCTCCCGCTCGCCGGTGACTCACTCGCGAGGAGTGGGGGAAGGGGGCTTCCTGGAAGCGGTGACGAGGACGCTCAGCCCGGACGCCCGGGTTCTTCTCCTGTAACCAAGGCTCTTGTCTCTTGTAAACACGGCCTCGGGGACAACGGGAAAAAGGGGGGAAGGAGAGGGACCTGGGGCCCGCCGCCGGCCGGGCTGCAAATCCCTTGGCCATCTGTAGGACTAAGGCGGCGAAAAGGGGGGGTGAGTGGCACCTTGGGGTCTTCGGAGGCCGGCTCCTGGCAGCGATCCTGGAGCCAGGATTCCAGTTTCGATTCCCTGGGAGCATTTCCCAACTCTGAGTCAGGCCGGCCCCCTCCCCTCTCCCATCTGCTGAGTCATCGCCGAGAGCTAGGCCGTCGGCCACCGGCCTTCACCGAGACGTTGTGCGGGTCGGGGCTTCGCGGGGAAGGGCCGACTCTCCCCGGCAAGGAAAAACACCTACGTGAGGCGAGGCCTTGACCCCTCCTCCTTCCGACCCGGGAGTCCAGGGCCCAGCACCCTCCTCCCTCTGCCAGACCCAGGAGCCCACGGCCCCAGTTCCCCTCCTGAACCTCAGGCTCACGAGTACGAGTCCCGGCCCCCTCCTTGGTCTCGGACCCAAGAGGTCAAGCCCTTATCCCTACTCCTCGATCTCAACCCACGAATCCGGGCGCCCAAACCCCTCCTCGACCTCAGAGCTAGGAGTTCGGGCCCCCTGCCCCTTGGAACGCAGACCCAGGAGTCAGGCCTCTCCTTCCCCCGCCTCCAGGCCTCAGGCATCCCAGGCCAGGAGGAAGTTCAAGGCAGGGCTCCTCCCCACTCCCCACGTAGCCAACGGGAAAATCCGCGGCTCCGGCGGCGGCTGGGAATCCCCTCTGGAATGACGGCGGGTAAGGGGATGGCCGGGGTCCCCCGCGGGGTGCAGAGGCCAAGTCCTAGGAGGGCGCGGTACAGACGGGTTGGGGGGTGGGGGAGAGGGAAAGGGGCGGAAACCAGAGAGGCTAAAAATACTGCAAGCACTTCCGGCCTAGGGGGAGGGGAACGGAGAGCAGAGTTTCCAGAAAAACAAGCGGGGACGGGAAACGCGGGGGTGTGAGAGCCCTTGCGAATGCGCGGGCGGGCAAGCGGGGGACCGTGTACTCGCCGCACGTGTGCCAGGGCCGTGCGCGCGCCTGGCGTGATTGCCTGGGCGGGAGCGGGTGTGGCTGGGGTGGGACTGCTGTGTATGCAACTGTGTGGGTGGGCGTGGGCTAAACAAGTGTGTACTGCGTCGTGCGAAGTGTGTGCATGCGGGTGTGAAAGGTGTGTGCCTTGCCATCTGTGGGTGTGAGATCTGGCGTGCCTGGGCGTGCCTTTGGGAAGTAGGTGTGAGACAGGAATGCGCCCGTTTCCTATGTGATTGCTGAGTGTGGACCGCCACACGTGGCATGGCGGTGGATAAATGTGTGTAACTGCCTGTGTCTGCGATCGACCATACCCTGTGTGTACTCGAACCATCTCTGGGTGTGGAGGGAACAACTATTACTGTACTGCCTGCATGGGAACGAGTGACTGCCATAGCCAGCTGCACATCTGTGTGCAACTACCCCGAAGTGTCTGGATAAGGGAAGGACCATGCCCGCTCTTTTGATTGCGGCTCTGTGCACACATAACTTCGAAGTGTGTGTCAGCTGTGCGCAGGCACCAGAGGCTGTGTGTTGCCCTCAGGTGTGTGAATAGCGCTCATATTTGTGCCCTAACTCGTGGGTGTCTGAGACATGATGTGCATGAGAACGTGGTAAGCCAGCGTCTGGATGCGGTTCCTCTGTGGCCCAGTCACAAGGTAGTGAAACTGGTGAACTTTGGCTCCTGACGTCTGTCCACAGTGCACACGATGGGGAAGGCGGCTGGTGACTGATGTGTTCCCCGGCTCAGGTCACTGTTGGCATGTCTGCTCCCAAAGGTAGAGCACCTCCCCCACACCTGAAAAGCCACACCAGCGTCTGTGCTCAGCCTTATCTGTCCCCACCTGATCAGGCTGTTTCTGATAGTGCTGGGCTTCAGGGCAGGGCTGAGTCAGCCTGTGATGGGCAAAGTCTGTGATGGGGTGAGAGATAGTGGGTTAAGTGGTGGTTAGAGGGTTGTTTGTGTATTCGCATGGTTGGGTTGTTTCCTTAGTCTGTTTGTGGGACTCAGTGGGACTGGTCCCTGGGAGTACCATGGCTGTAGGGTGGAGGGTTAGGTAGAACTCTGCTGGGAGAGGGGTATGATTTGTGTTCAGGAGTCCTCATCTGTTTTGTCCACAGGTGTGGGGGCTGTGGGTCCTCCTGGAAGTGTGTGGTTGTGCACCGCTCCGAGTCTAATAACGCAGCAAAAGCTACGACCTCACCAGGGCTCTCATGGACATCCTCTCCAATGCCTACTCCTGCATTGTGGCCCAGGCCTCTCACTGTTCCATAAACACACCAGCTCATTCCTGTCTCTGCCTTTTTACTTGCCACCTCCTCTGCTTAGAACACTTGAAAGAAATTTCTTTTTAGTTTTTTTTTTTTAAGTTCAAGGAAGGGAGATGGACACACTATTCACCTTCCAAGTTTTAGAGTAATATATTCACTGGCCATTTCAGGCTCAAGGTAAAACTTTCATAAATAAGGAAATGGAAATTCAGATATTAAATGAGGGTGATTTTGACAGTACCCAAAGGAAGAATAGAAACTTTATATTAGTAGGTATAATTAATTTATTTTTGTATTTATGACATAAATATTTAACTTGTTGATATGTCTCACTGCACAAATGACTTTTTTTAATTTTTGAGAGTTTTTTTGTTTGTTTGTTTGTTTGTTTGTTTGTTTGCTATAGGGTGCATGTGCTCGCCAGAAAGACAGAAAGAGACAGAGAGAGAGAAAGGAGGAAATCACCCTCCAGGAGCAATAGCCATGCAGGCAGCAATCCCTTCTCCATTTTTCTCTCAAGATTTTGTGCACACATGCCATAGTAATGGTTTATTTCCTCTTGATAATATTGTGTATAGTTATTCTCAACTGGACTGGTCTGAGATGTATCCATGTTGGGTAAATTCTCTTTGCAAGCCAAATGATGTATAATGATCGAATGTGTAAAATAATAATAAAAAATAAAAATTTAAAAACAAGACAAAATGAGGAAGTATCTAAGTCTTAACTACATTTGAATCAGTCTTTGGTTTCAGAGATAATATTTTATATTGAATTTAAAAGTTCACAAAATCGTAGAGTTATTTATAGCAATGGGTGCTGGGAAAATGCAATGGAAGTGAGAAGTTAGAATAGCTAGAGAAGAGTAAGGACAAAAGTGGCACATAAGCCAAGGAAATTGAATGTTTCTAGAAAGGAACTAAATGTCAAATACTGTAAAGGGGAGAAAAATGGAATAAAGGTCTTTTGGATGTGACTATTAGAAAGTATGTGATAAATCTCTAATTCTTTTATCTAGTCTTAAATTACCAACATACAAGGGACTTTCCTCTAATGCCAGTTTACAAGCTAAATCTAACCTTGAATATTTTTTAAAATGTAAAGAAAACTAAAAGATATGTATGAGCTTTTTGATTCATCACTGGAAAAGAACAGTTCAGAGTGTCTTAACTTTTTTTGTGTGTGTGTGCACATATGCACATGTGTCTGGTGATTTTCAAGACTCAGTGTCTGAAACTTGAACCTTGGTTGGCCATGTGGGAATCCAGCGCCTTAACCACGCCACCTGCTGGTCCCTTTCTCCCCCCACCCATTTTCACTATAGGGCCTGTGCACTCACGGGAGGCATAGCCACTCGGAATCCATTCTCTCTTTTTTTTTTTTTTTGAGAGGTTTTTGCTATAGAGCGCATGCGCTCGCCAGAGTGAGACAGAGACAGAAAGCGAAAAGCCACCCCCCAGGGTGCCACGCTGCAATCCCTTCTCCTCCATTCTCCTCTCAGGATCTTGGGCACGCACGCGCACATGCCTGGCGTGAGTTTTAAGCCACCGGGTCCGGGACTCGAACCCCGGTGGACTACATGGGAGTCCAGCAACATAGCCATTACACCAACTGCTGGTCTCTTGGAATCCATTTTCCATTCTCTTCTCAAGACTAGGCACTCATGCACATGTGCCTGGACTGTTTTTCAAAGTGCTGGTTGACACAGTCAACCATGTGGGGATCCAGATGCTTTAATCTCCACATCACCTGCTGGCCCTTGGAACATTCTCGCTCTGGATGTCATGTACTCCTTCACATTTGCTTTAATACCACCTTCTCAGGGATTTCTTGTGTTATGAGTTATTCCTGGGGCCAGCAGGTCGTGTAGTGGTTAAGGGACTCGACTCCCACATGGCTGTGGTTCATCTCTCTGGTGAGCACATGTACCCTATAGCAAATTTTAAAAATATAATACATAAAATTAAATAATTCTTAGGAAAAAAGTTATTAAGTGCTTTTTTATGTTGTGATATTACTGTAAATCTCTGCTTTTGACCTCACTTCTCTGCTTGCTTTTCTTTCTTGGACTTTGCTATACTGTCTTACCTTATCACACAAACTCTAAATAGAATACCAACTCCAGGAGTGCAGGATCTTTGGCTCCTGCTATACAGGGTTTGGACCACCCAAGGATACCGTTTGCTGAATGAGCACGGCTTGGCTTCCTGATGCTGTCAGATCTTCCAATCTGCCCGAGACTGGTTTTAGTACTGCTGGGCTCTGTACCACAGGTACTAGATGCCTTGCCTCTGGTCTGTCTGCTGTTGTGCCAAAACTATCCATAGGGCCAGCTGGACCTAAGTCTTCTCATGCCTATGCCCATGGACACATGTGTGCCATGTGCCCCAAGACTGGAAGCTGGTGGGGTCCACTGGGGAGTCAGATTTCAGTTGAATGCAAGATAAAGGCATCAGGTGAGCTGGAATTATGACTGTTACTGTACTTATGTGGAGATTAAGTATGGTTAAGGAAATAGTGTGGGTGCCCAACTGACAAGACCAGATGGTCAATTTCATGTGTCAACCTGGCTGGGCTATAGTCCCAGATATTCCACCAAACACTAATCTAGGTGCTGTTCTGAAGGCATTTCGTAGATGTGATTAAAGTTCATAATCAGCTGACTTAAGGTAAGGAAAATTAACCTAGATAATCGGGATGGGTGGGTAGGAAAAACTGAGACTTCTCTGAAGAAGAAATTCCACCACTGGACAGTACTTCAGCCTGCCTTCCTGCTGGCTGCTCTGCTGCCCTGGCACTTCAGGGAAGGCCACAGGGAGGAATTTCCTGGGATGTACACACACATACACAGCTGCCCATTTTCCAGTGAGGGGAGTTGGGCTCTGGGTGAATTGCAGAGGTCTCTAAAACCACAGGTCCTTGCAGAACAGAAGGCCACTAGGTGATGGTGATATGGGAACCAGTGTGCAGAGGTGTTGGGTGGGGCAGTTCCCTCACCAGCCTGAGTCACTTGGCACTCAGCACCCAACAACTGAGCCTGGACTGGGAGCTCCGCCCTATACTTGCCCAGGCCTGAAAGCTGAGCTCCCATAGAAACTCAAAGCTTGCTCTCTAGGAGGTAGGAAGCCAGGTGGTGCATTCCCTCTCTGAAGCCCCCTTCCCGGAGCTTGCTTCCTGAAGTTGGGTATCAGGGGCCTGGGTTCTTCCCCAGGACTGATGATTCACCCTTGCTGGGCCTTTTCACTTCTCCTTTGGGGCTAAAAATACAGGGACCCAGGCATCCAGCTGGGCCAGGCCTCACCACGGATTGCACAATGCCCCTCACAATGCCCCTTGTTTGAGTTCCGCTGACGCAGGTCCTGGGTGGGGGCCCGAGTAGCTCCCTGATCAGGCCTGCTGAGGTCAGGGCCCAGATCCCTTCCACTTCTCCTTTCCTGGCCAAGGGCCCTGAGGGCCGAACTATGGGAAATGCTGGGGGACTCTGGCCTTGGTTGTGGCCCCTGGAAATGAAGCCCTTCCCATTATTCCAGGTAGGAGCTGGAGACAGAAGACAGCAGAAAAAAGCCAGAGAGAGACACACACACATGCAACAGACAGAGGAACGACTAGAAAAAAAGAACACAAACACCCTCCAAACTGGGACAGAGTCAAGGACAGATTGAGGGATATAGGCTCAATTGGGGCCCCACAGCACCGCCAGGTGGAAGCAGAGCTTCTGGAACTCTAAGGAGGCCTTCAACACACACAGTTGAGTCCACCCTGGGGAGGGGCCAGGGGCAGGAGGTCCCGCCCTGCGCTCCCTGCTAGCCTCTGCTGCCCCCTGCTGGTTCTACTGGAAGTGCTCAGGCAGGAAGAAGAGTCCACACAAAGTTGCTTTGGCTTAGACTGCGTTTCATTCCCTCTGCCCCACCCCCACCGTCTGCCCCACTTCCCGCCTGCCACCTCAGAGGGTGCCCCCGGGGCCAGTAGGTGGTGCAGGCGTCTTGCCTGTGACCTTGTTAGCACAGTCCAGCAGGGCAGTGTGAATGTCCTTGGCACAGGCAATCTGGGCTTTGATGACTGCCAGGTACTGCGGATAGGGCAGGCTGTCAGGTTGTACTGCATCTGGTTTCGTGGCTGTGGGCACCAGCGTCGGAGAGTGCTTGGCACTGTCACAACTCTGTGACAGACATTCATGAGCCAGGCGCTGTGGACAGGTAGGGAAGGATGCAGTATCAGCCTCCTTGGTATTTGCAGCCTTATCCTAAGACCAGCTTGGGGAAGACCAGCTTGGGGTAGCCTATGGGCCTCAGGACTCCCAGAGTCTCAGAAGGAAAGCCTAGTCCTGCTGATCACTTGTTGAGATGACCTGGAGCATGTGACTGCTCCTCTCTGCACCTCAGGTTCCTCCTTCGCAAAGTAGGTTTAATAGCCACCTCATCCTACCTCATAAGGTGAGAAGAGATGTGTGAGACACAGGCGTGGGTCCTGGTGCTTTTTTTTTTTTTTTTTAATTTGCTATAGGGTGTGTGCACTCACCAGAGACAGAGAAAGTGAGAAATCACTTCCTGGAGGGATGGCCACTTACGTACAAGTGCCTGGTATTTTTTTAAAGCCTCCAGGTCTGAGACTCAAAACCATGCAGCTGGCCATGTGGCATCCAGCTGCCTTAACCACACATCATCTAATTTTCCATCTGGCGTGTATGCTTGCCAGAAAGAAAGAGAAGCAACCTCCAGTGGGGTGTGATCACACTGATAACCCTTCCTTTTCATCTCTCCATCTTGTTGGGATTTGGGGCACCAGGTTGGCTTTTTTTTTTTTTTTTTTGGAGAGGTTTTTGCTATAGGGTGCATGCGCTCTCCAGAAAGACAGAGAGACAGAAAGCGAGAAATCACCCCCCAGGGGGGATGGCCATGCTGCAATCCCTTCTCCTCTATTCTCCTCTCGGGATCTTGGGCACGCACGCACATATGCCCGGCGTGAGTTTAAGCCGCCAAGTCTGGAACTCGAACCACAGTCAACTATGTGGGAGTCCAGAGACATAGCCATTACGCTAACTGCTGGTCCTCAGGCTGGCATGTTTTTCAAGCTATCAGGGCGGGGATTTGAATTGTGATTGGCCACATGGGATGTGATTCCCAATGCCCAACACTTAACTATTGGGTTATCAGAAAAGTCATGACATGGGAATCAGCAGTTAGCGTAATGGCTATGTCGCTGGACTCCCACGTAGTCGACCGCGGTTTGTGTCCCGGACCCGGTGGCTTAAAACTCACGCCGGGTGCGTGTGCATGTGTGCCCAAGATCCCGAGAGGAGAATGGAGAAGGGATTGCGGCATGACCATCCCCCCTGGGGGGTGATTTCTCGCTTTCTGTCTGTCTCTCTCTCTCTCTGTCTGGCGAGTGCACACACCCTATAGCGAAAACCTCTCAAAAAAAAAAAGAAAGAAAGAAAGAAAGGTCATGACACATTTTTGCATAGAAACATAGAAAAATACATTATGACTTTTCCAATGACCCAATACTATAGTATGGGGCCAGCCCTGGCACATTGTTTTAAGTTAAATTGCTATTATTGTTATTTTTTTTAGGGGGATTTTTGCTATAGGGCATGTGCACTCGCCAGAAAGGCCGAAAACGAGCAATCACCCCCTAGAGGAATGGCAATGCTGCAACCCCTTCTCCTCCATTTTCCTCTTGGGATTTTGGACATGTACACACTCGTGCCCAGTATGAGTTTTTAAGCCACCGGCTCCAGGACCACATGGGAGTCCAGAGACATAACCATTAAGCCATCTGGACTTGCTACTATTATATTTTATTTTAAGAGAGATATTTTTGCTATAGTGCTCTCGCCAGAGAGCAGAAAGCAAAAAATCACCTCCTGGGGAGATGGCCACACTGCAATCCTTTCTCCTCCATTCTCCTCTTGGGATTTTGGAAACACATGTACACACACCAAGTGTGAATTTCAAGCCAGTGGGTCTGGGACTATGTGGGAGTCCAGTGATGTAACCCTTACGCCATCCGCTGTTCCCCCTGCTACTATTATTATTACTGTCCTAACTCCAGGCTTGGTCTTGGCAGTGGCCTCTGATGACACCTACTCCTGTATTTCCTTCTATTTCTCTGGCCGCTCCTTCTAGATACTTCTTACTCTACCTAAGACTTAAGTGTAGCGATTCCCAGGCCCCATTTCCCTTCACTCCTCGTGTCTTCCTGGAGCTGTCATGTGCACACACCACTCATTTCCCCCCTCTGTAGTGAGGATGCCCATATCTCTGTCCTTAAATTCCCCTGACATTTCTGGGGCTCAGATACCCATCCCCAAAACTGCTCCTCCTCCTGGGCCCCTTTCTTGGGGACGGTGCCAACATTTCGACCAAACCCTAGGCTTCATCCTGGAAACCCCTCCCCCAAAGCACATTGGTCCTGGGACCTACACACAAAGCCTCTGGATCCTGTGTGCCCTTCCCCTCTTCCTCATGGCACAGGTAGAGGTTCACAAGCTCTGGTCCTTGCCCCCATGAATCCTGCCATGGCTGTCTCCTTGGGCTCTCACCTCCAGTTAAGCCCCTCTGACCTACCTGTTATCTGCCAACCAGAGGCATATTCCTAAAATGCTCCATATTCCACGAATGGTCCACATTCTTCCCTGCTTAAAACTCCCCATGGCTCCCTAGTGATCTCAGGGTCACATTAAAAATCCAACAAGTCAGGGCCAGCAGGTGGTGTGGTGGTTAAGGCATTGGACACTCCCATATGGCCAACCACGGTTTAAGTCCGGGTCTGGTAGCTTGCTTTCTCACTTTTCTTCTCTCCGTGCGTCTGTCTGTCTCTGGTCAAATGAAAATGACTGAATAAATAAATAAAATTAAATAATTCTTTTCTTTTCTTTCTTTGTTTTTTGAGAGATTTTCGCTATAGGGCACGTGTGCTCGCCAGAAAGAGAGAGAGAGACATAGAGACAGAAAGCGAGAAATCACCCCCCAGGGGAGAGGGCCATGCCACAATCCCTTCTCCTCCATTCTCCTCTCGGGATCTTGGGCACGCATGCACACGCGCCCGGCGTGAGTTTTAAGCTGCCGGGTCCGGGACTTGAACCATGGTCAATTACGTGGGAGTCCAGTGACATAGCCATTATGCTAACTGCTGGTCCCAATAAAATTAAATAATTCTTAAAAAAAAAATCCAACAAACGGACCAGCACATGATGTGGAAGTTAAGGTGCTGGATCCTACATGACCAGCTTTGCAGTTTGAGTCCCAGTCCTGGCAGCTTGATTGCTGGGCTGGGCGTGTGTGTGTGTGTGTGTGTGTGTGTGTGTGCATGTGCAAGCCCCAAATTCCGAGAGGAGAGTAGAGAAGGGGTTGTGGCATGGCCATACACCCAGGAGGGTAATTTCTCACTTTCTCACTCTCTGTGTGTGTCTTTAGTGAGTGCATGTGCCCTATAGCAAAAACATTAAAAAATAATAATAATAAATAAATAAATCTGGGACCAGCAGATGACTCCCACACAGCCGAATGTGCTTCAAGTCCTGGACCAAGTGGCTTCAGACTCATGTTAGACACTTTTGTGTGCGTGCCCAAGATCCTGGAAGGAGGATGGAGAAGGGATTATGGCATGGCCATCCCCCTTAGGGGGTGATTTCTCACTTTATCTCTCACTGTGGGATCTGTTGTCTCCTCTTATGAGCTGATCCACTACCAGGCTACTGCTTTGAAAAAAAAAAAAATTATTTAACTTTATTTATTATTAGTTTTTAATTTGCTATAGTATACATGTGCTCACCAGAGAAAGACAGGGAGAGAGGGGGAGGGGGAGAGGGAGAGAGAAAGAGGAAGTAAGAAAGCAGGCCATCAGGTTTGGGACTTGAACCATGGTGGAGTCCAGAGCCTTAACTACCATGCCAACCTGCTGTCCCCTACTACCAGGCTTCTTAAATTCTGACCTTTCCTTCAAAATCTCAACTAAAACAAGGACGATGACATAGGAAATACTTCCCATACGTCTAATGCATGCTCTTGCTGAACTTTCCCTGTAATTCCATTTTCTTTTCTTTCTTTCTTTCTTTCTTTCTTTTTTTTTTTTTTGGAGACATTTTGCTATAGGGTGTGTGCATTTGCTAGACAGACAGAGATAAAGGGTGAGAAGCCCCCCCCCAGGGGGGGTGGCCATGCCACAGTCCCTTCTCTCTCCTCTTGGGATCTTGGGCATGCATGCACATGTGCCTGGCATGAGTTTTTTTCTTAGGTTCACTCTTTTTTATTTTTTAATTTATTATCATTTTTAGAATTATTTTATTTAACTTTATTTTAATTTGACTAGAGAAGGACAGAGTAAGAGAGAGAAAGAGTGAGAGAGAGAGAAGTGAGAAAACTAGTCACCAGGGACTCAAAACTTGGTCGACCATGTGGGAGTCCAGTGCCTTCACCACCACATTACCTGCTGCCCCCCCACCTGGTATGAGTTTTAAGCCACTAGGTCTGGGACTCAAACCTCATGGACTATGTAGGAGTACAACGATGTAACCATTTCGCCATCTGCTGGTCCCAAGATTCCATTTCCTTTTTTTTTTTTTGGAGAGGTTTTTGCTACAGGGCACGTGTGCTCGCCAGAAAGACGGGGAGAGAAAGAGAGAGAGAGAGAAGGCAAGAAATCACCCCTCAGAGGAGATGGCTACGCAGCAATCCCCTCTCCTCCATTCTCCTCTCGGGATCTTGGGCACGCACACACACATGCCTGGTGTCAGCTTAAGCCACTGAGTCTGGGACTTGAACCGGGATTGACTACATGGGAGTCCATGACATAGCCATTATGCCAACTGCTGGTCCCAAGATTCCAATTTCCAAAGCTCAGAGGTAGAGGCTGATGCGCCATCTGGTTCCAGGATTGTACTCTTAGTCACCTACCCTCTAAACTCCTGCCCCTCTTCCATTCTGTGTTCCAGCCTTGCTCTAATGTGCTCTATACCATAGTTTCCCCAAAGCCACTCGTTCCCTACCCTAACCCAGGGTTCCACAGTTCCCCCACCTCCCCGTCAAGATTTCCCCCTCTAGCCCTGTCCTCTGCCTGTGCCTTCCCCATCAAAACCCTGACCGCCCTGGTCTGAGCATTTCCCATTGCAGCCAAGATCACTCTGAGCTGTCTGTTTAGGGGCATAACTGTCACTGCACTGAACTGCAGACTGTGTGAGAAAGGATCAGGGTACCACTACATCTCTGACACTGTTTAAAGTACATATCTGGCCCAATGAGTGTGAGCTGAGTGATGCATAAGGGTTCCTAAAGACACCAGGGACTGGGTCAGTGCTGTGGTCACCCAATGTCCAGGAGGCCTCTTACCAGGCAGAGTTCCAGTTGGTCGCAGAGAGCATAGAACTCCTCCAGGCACTTGTCAAAGCGCTGTATGGGTCCATCGCTGCTCTTTCTACAGCCCAGGAGAAGAGAGTGACTAAGAAATGTATTCTAATCACTGGGACACCAGGGTCTACACATTCAAGTATCCATCAAGAAACTAGGGACAGGCCCAGGAGATAAGAGGCAGAGCTTGAAAATGAGGGAGGAAGGCTGGAGGGGCGCAAGTTTTAAGGAGGTGGAGATAGGATATCCTGGGGTAAGGGTGCTGCACTCACTGTCCGTTGTCGATGTTAGTGTTCTGAATCAAGTTCTGGGCTGCAACCTTCATTAAAGTCTAATTAAAAAAAAAAAAAAGAAAAAAGGTACAGGAGCTGGAGAAACAAAAGGAATACCTTTGGGTAGATCTACAAAATAATCATTTTTTTTTTTAAACAAACAAAAAAACCTTTAACCACCCTCCCATCCCCACATCCCCCTCCTTGAGGGTGATGACTACGCTGCAATCCCTTCTCCATTCTCCTGTCAGAATCTTGGATGCCCACGTGCCTGGCCTGAGTTCGAAGACATGGGGTCAGGGACTCCAACTGCGGTCAGCTGTGTGGGAGTCCAGCGATGTAACCATTACACCATTCGCTGGTCCCCAATATCATCTTTCTTAAATTCACCCAATCTCGGGCCTCCTCTTCACTTAGTACTTCCCCTCCTGACACTCCAGAGTACTGCTCATTTCTATTCCCTCACCTGGAGTTCTCGCTAGTAACCTCTCGGACATACCTTAGGATCCTCTCTTATTCACTAAATCACGGGCATAATCCCTGTTTAAGTCAGTCTCTTCCTTAGGGTTCAACAACCAGCATTCTCCTTTAAACCTCCTCCCACTCAGATTCCCAAGCCTCAACATCTGCGTTGATCCACTTACGCTGTCAATTCGCTGAGTTTTGCTTTGGCCTTCAAAAAAGAACAAGCCTCACTCCTGTCCCCTAACACTTTCCCTGACTGAACAGTCCCTCGGCCAGCTCCCTTGGAGGAAGACGACCAAATACCGCTTGCTCCTCGCAACTTTCGGCCAATCACCTGTAGACTCTCCTTCAGCTGCGGGATGAGCATCTTATAGCGCTGCACTGGATCAAAGTCCTGTTGCTGTTGCTGCAGGAGACCGCTCTGGGCAGGCCCCACCAGTTGTG